TTTTTTTTCTTTTTTTTTCTTTTTTTTTGTTACAAAAGAAGCTTCGAAAATAGTGTTTACAGTTGCCTTTTTCGACCAGCCGGCTCCAAAAGGCCCCTGGGCTGCCGGGCTGCTTTTCCGCCCCGCCAAGCGGGCGAGTTTGCTCAGGGCGACGAGAAGAGGCAGTGAGTGGGCGCAGGACGACAGTCGAGGAAACGAACCTGAAAAGCAAACGTGGCAGATCGAGAAAGAAGCAGCGTTTCACTCTACGAAGCAGCTGTCACAAAGCAGAGTCCAAACCGCCGCGGCCCCCCCAGGCAACGCAGAGATTTGCTTTCGAATCAGCGAGGGGGGGGAGAAGGGGCGCAGGCAGCGCTTCCCCCTCCCCGTCTCAAAGAGCAGCCGACGATCCGGTACGTTAGAAAATCTCTTTCCCCTCGGCTCGGAACCTTCCTCGCCTGCCCGAAAACAGCCCCTTTCTAGTGCAAAGGATAAACTGAGGACGTAACGCTGGAGCCTTGGCGGGGGCGGCGGGGGGCTCCGGAGAGGAAAAGGCTGACGGAGACTCCTACTCATTAATGGCAACGAGCGGATGAGGGGCGAAATACGGCGCGACGGGGAGCGGGGGTCTGCAGCGCTGCAAGCTTAGAACTTAGAACAAGCTTTACTCATTGTACACGCGCACGGGACGGAGCCGCGGCGCTCGGCAGCTCCTGTCCCGACACGACTGACCCACTGGACTCTCCAGTTGGGCTGGGCTCCAGGAACAAGCGTCGCTCCCACGCTCCCGGCGTCCACGCTTCACAGCCGGTCCATCCTGAACGTGTCCTCTGTGGCGGGGTCGGTGAGGACCATGTCTGGGTCATTCAGCATGTGCAGTCCATCCAGGGTTAAAGGGTCAATTTTGAGTTCATCCAGGGGGAACTGGGAATCCGTATCGAAGCTGACGTCTCCCACTCCTGCCAAAGAGCTGGTCAGTTCTTTTGATAAGCTGGGGGGAGATTCTCCTGTCACTGCAGGGAAGAGGAAGGGAAAAGCGTGGGTAGGACTTAGCAAATACATATTCTCCAGGCAGACGAGTCATAAAACAGCTTGCAAAAATTCTGGAATAATATACTGGACTAAGGCTGAAGTTCAGATAAGAAACATCTATCCTCATGTCACTACAGGTTTGTCAGAGCATCTCAAAACCGCCGTAACGGCCTGACGCAAAGCAAAACTCATATACGTATATTTGGGAGCCGCAAAGTGGTGTCACTTGAGTCTCTTTACTCTCCCTTAGGTTTAGGGCCAATAACCTTAATTTACGTGACTAATCAGCACGAGTCCTTGGCTGAAATATGGACTGAACGACAGTTTTCTCAGCGGCCTGTGCAGAAATTGTTTCCAAACGTCCAACCGTGACCAGATTCGCTACCATATGCGACACTAAAAAAATCCTTTGTCGGCAGAGGAAGGAGCTCGGCTTTCACCGCTTCTCCCTCGCCGCGACGCAGGGTCCGGCAAGCTCGAGAGGGAGGGGAAGTCTGTAAGAGAATTAGCGCTGCCATCGCGGTTCTACCCGTCGGCTGGGATTAGACGAGAGCCGCCAGGCTCCCCCGGGAATACGCCAGACCGGACACACGAACATTCACACAAGGTGAAAGAAAACCTTCGAAGGCAACAACGCCCTTGTTCCTTTCCACGCGTAGCGTCGCACAACGAAGAGAAACACCGACAGCGGGACGGCGGCACTCGGCGGTTAAGTCTGGGCTTTTCTTACCTGTAAGAATGATGTTGGGGATGTTTCCGTGGCTGGAGTAATTCAGCTGCTGCGAGTCCTGCAAGCTGCCGTGGCTGCCGGTGAGTCCCATCATGGCTGCCTGGGAGTAGTTAAGGGTGGAACAGGGGCTGTACAGGCTGTTGGAACTAATGGCGTTTTCTATCATATTAAACTGTTCGAGCTGAAGACCAAGGCACAAAGGAATTATTACTTCTGACCATCAGGAAATACAGCAAAACAACTTACAAAGCTCAAGTACGGGAAGTAATGTTGAAAGAGACAGGCAAACAAATTCATCTTTAGGTTTCGTCGATCAAAATATAGTCTATTTTCACTTAACTTTCCAGAATAGTTTACTGCCAAATTCAGAGCGCGGGGGAACGAGGAGAGGGTTGATGCAAAAATAAAATCGTTGCTTTTGGTATCGTAAAAACAGAAGAAAAGGTAGCTTTAAAACAAAGTAAAAAAAACCCCAGAATTCATGCTACTAACTCGGGTAGCTGCCCATCAGAGCAGATGAGCTCTCTCGTTTTTTCCTGCTACCAGCGCGCGTTTCTCAGCGCAACGAATCGACGCGCTGGCTGGCCACGAAGGCAGGCATGGGTCTGCTAGGTTTTGGTCCCACGCACGAGTTGCTTGCCAAATTCAGGAGTAAATACTGTTACCAAGTGAATCCTTCCCAAACGCAACTACAGCCAGAGATGTGGGGTTTATTAAACATTTATTTTCGTTATTTTTAATCCGATAAACTTGGCAGAATACCTTTAAAAGCGTCTGCTACAATGGCTAAGAGGGAGGAAGGGGAAGGAAGAGAGGGGGGAAAACAAACAAACAAACAAAAAACCCAGAAGAAAAGAAACCCCTGAGCATCGCAAACTCAAAATTCAACAGAAGTAAAACTGTATGGACAAAATGTGATCCCACGTAAAATAATCAGAAGTTGATCTATATTTATTTTAAGCTGAAAGCGGCCGAAATATAACTGAAAATCGGAGATGAATTTGCTCACCTGATGGGATAGGGCATTAGCCTGCCTAGCTGTCATCTGCTGATCATAATAGGAGTCACCAAATACACTCCCCAGAATGGAAGAATGCTGAAAACAAAACAGAGTCTTTATGGTGCAAAGATCTCACAGACAGACGTACCCATGGCGTGCGAGGGACTCCAGCCTTCCAACCGACTCTTCTCCAGGTTAGTTAGCGGTGCCCTGGGCGATTAACAACCGCTAACCACCGGCGAAGTGGTGAAACATTCAGCGTCGCCCTCCAGGACACAACCCCCTCCGCATCACGCTGCCTTTCGGCGCGCACAAAAACACAGTCGAACCAAACAAACCGCCTCACGGAGGACAGACGACACAGAAAACTTCTGATTCATGAGAACAGACGAGCGCGCCGGGTAACACGAGAAATAAGGATCGCTCCGCGACTTCCAGCTTTTTCGGTGACCTTTTTGTTTCGGTGAAAGACAAAGCCCACGGAGAATTAAAGCGCGCGTTAAAACGCGGCGCGACGCAAAGCCCATCACCAGTGCGCAGGCAGCGACCGGCTCGCCGTCTCTGCAACCTCCAGCCCGCGGGACGGCCAGCTTCGCCGAGAGAAGGACGTGCCAAAACAAAACTGACGTTTTAAGGTCGTTTTACTTTAGCTGCAGATCGGAAAAGTTAACGAGAAAGCCCGGTAAAGCGTGTTATCAGCAGCGTGAAGGCAAAAATCTCAGGAGGAATTCCTCAGCCTTGCTAATTTTACCGTCCCCTCTAGCACGACAAGCGTTTATCAGTTATTCTAAAGGTGACCAAGAATTTGAGGTTAATGTTTTAATACTATTCAGCACTGTCCCAAAGAATGGCCAGATATAAAAGAAATCCCAAACCACTTATTTAAAGCTGCCACAAATTCTGATACTCCAGAAAAAAGTCGAAATCGTCGAAAAAAACCCAGCTACTGACAAAGAGAGCGTCTACGAAAGACGATCTGCGTGGAGAGCTTGTATCAATCTTGGAAAAAAAAAAATTCAAGACCTTGCATGGCATTTTCCAGCGGGTTTATCTACATGTTGAGGGAGGAAGGCTACAAATTTTCTCCTTAAAAACCTAAGCAGCAGATGAAATTAAGCGAAAGCCTAGGAAACATCAGAAGAGTTGCACCAGCCACCATAGTTAAAAGCGCTGAACGCAGCCGAAGATCAAGATACTCAAAAAACCACGGGACTGACGTCCACAGCAGTGAATGGAAAAATGTCAGCAAACATCACGATTTAAACACTCTCCCTCCTACATCAGCAGGAGCACAGCTTATTTGCAGGTTGCATGCAAGGAAAAGAATGAAAGCCTTGTATTAAAAAAACCCCAAAACTAAATTGCCCACAAGCTCCCTCAGAAGGGACTACCAGGAAAGAAGCAACAACATATTCTTTTTAAAGCAAACAAAAACCTTCCCACCTTCAGCCAGAATCCTTGACTATCACATTATATGGATGCTTTTGGATAAATGTGGCCTCAAGGGAGGAATCTGCCGCCTGAGAACAAGGCTCCGTGGGGGAAGGCGGCTGAAAGTTCGGCACGTGCTCCAAAACTCCTTGCTGAGCAGCTCCTGCTCGATCCAAGCACCGCTCCGAGCGTCACCGCGAAGCACTCGCGCGCCGGCTGCCCGCGAGGGCGCGGGTACGGCTCAAACGCACGCGGAGGAGAGAGAAATCTGCTGCAGAAGAGTGCTGCTGGGTCACGTCACAACACCTGGGAACACCGACCTCGGGGACCTCCCGACCTCGGGGACCTCCCGATCTGAAGTACGATGCCGGCAGGCTCAGGGGAGGCAGGAGACAACCGCCTCCAAAGCCTTGTCAGAGAAGAACGTAACGGTGACTTCTCGGTAAGAAATGGTTTACCCGCAACGAAGCCAGCTCATCCTCAAGACTGATTAAATGGAGCCTGAGCCAGGAAAAGGGTTTTACAGACAAAAGTAAGATTCTGATTCGCTTTCCCAGGCGTCTGTGGTCCGTCACAGCAATGACCACAGAACAATAATGACATTTTGCAGCCTCACAGCCTACTCAATGCCCTCCTTAGAAGCAGGTAAAAATGGAAAATGGTCGTAATTGGAACCAGGCTTCCAGCTCATCAGCTGGTCCTCAAAAATACGGTGGCTGCTCTATCCCTTGCGAAAGACAGGGCTACGAGGAAGTTCTCAAACATCGCAAGCAAGAGCCACTTGCACCTGATCAGAGAAAAAGCAAAGCACTACTTAAATAAAAAAACCCCACACTTTTCTTTAAACCACTGATATCTTACTGGCTGCCCAGTCACACTTTGATGAGCTACTCAAAACTCCACGTTATTCAACCTGCTACAGGTGTTGCTTTCTTCTAAAAAAGACAAATGGAGTCAGAGAGTAGAGCTAACTCAAGCAAGCAGATCAGGATCAGCCAAGCTTAACTCTATTACACGAAAACCATTCCCCTCGCAAGTGCCAGGCGCAGCTTCAGAACTGGGTGATGTTCTATTAACAATTTCTAACGGAAAACTTGCGCCTCAGGACGTCACATACTCGACGTGAATCAAAGCCAGTCTGGCCCAGCACTAGAAATACAAGTGCTATTCGAGAGCTCCAAAGAGAATTGAGGTATTTTCTTCCTTTAACTTCCAACATTTCATTTTTACAGGAGCTTTTCAGAAGTAGAGCAAAAACTAAAATCTTTGCATTCCGCTAAGCGTTGTTCCCATCCTAAAAAGAAAAATAATAAACAGGAGACCAAAATCTATTTGTGCAAGGCTACGTTAGTAACGCCTAACAAAACGAACGAGCCCGTATTTACTCCTCAGCTCTGAAGGATACCGGTTATTACATCTGTAAGCACTGACACTCCCAAAGGAAATCAACTGGAAATGTCATTACTTCAACACTTCAGAGTCCTAGAATTAATTTATCGACAACTCTGTGAAAAACATCTTGCTAACGCCATCTCCTCCAGAAACACTAGATGAGGTCTGTTTTGTCAACAGTGCATCTTCTTGGGTTAATGATGTGGTGACTGCAAGAAGAAAAAAACAAACCCGAACCACAAAACCCCTGGCTTAAATTATTCATCTAAAATACATACCATATTATCCAGTATACAGCCATTCTACTAAAAAAAGCAGATTTCTATCTAATTGGAACAGTACGCCAGGTGTTAGAGGAGAAAAGCAAAGTAGTAATAAACAAGCCATCGTCAATGAAAAGCCATGCAAACACAAAGCTGAGGACTACAAGCAGAGCTTTTCAATTCATGTTTGAACAGGAAGACCTTCATATAACAACCACACATCTAAAACACAAGAGCAAATAGATTTGGAGATGGGGAAAGATGAGAAAGAACTTCTGGTGAATGAACCGTATGTGATAAAAATCAAACCGCAGATTGCTATTTTGAGAGCACGTCACTCATCATACTGATACTCTGCAGAACAATTTAACCTAAAATTAATCAGAGAAACAGGAGCAAGTGGAGGACGCCTACCCGGTCACACTTACTTTATTCCACGCTTGTCAGCCAGCGCCAGACTGTTCCACAATGGGCATGTTCCGCTGTTGGAACCAATCTGCTTTTCCTCTTGGCAGATTACTCTACAGTCTAATGGATCCTGCTATTCGGGAGCTGCCTCCATAATCACAACCAACCTAAGTTTTCCTTCTGAACTGGTTTTTTTCTTCCCCCATTGCTTCTCTCCACGCTTCATCTTTGCAACCGCCACCACAGATAGCTCGCTCGCCACTTCTAGCTTTTGGTTCACTGATGGAGGCAGGAAAGCTGTCTCGTTTTTAATTTAGCAAAAATAAAAGAACTGTGTGGGTATTTTTAAGAGGCCAATATTAAAGTAAGCAGTATTAATAAACCCTCTTTCGCGCAGAATGATGGTGTCCCACTTGAAAATAGCAAAACCTAAGCAAGAGTTTACAGGATAAAACAAGCCCAGCAGGAAAAATTATAGTCAAAATATTATGTGTGCTCCACTGGGGAGCGCTTGCTGCACTCCAGTACTTTGGACTGACCAGCGGCAACAATTCTGTGGACCAAAGCACGACGGAGTTATTGAGAAGTCAAGGGGGAAAGAAAATCAACGCAAAAATCAAAAATCGGCTGCGCTGCCCAAATGAGAGCTGGACCTGAGCATCTGCAGCAAGACTGGCAAGAGCTTTGCTCTACGTGACAGCCTGGAGGAGTCAGTTTGCTTGTTCTGAGCCACACACAGAACACAGAACTGGCAGAAGCAGGCAGAAGAGAGAGAAGTTAAGAAGCAGTTAAGCAAGGGTTAAGAAAATCCAGACAGTCCTGACACTGGATCTATGACTGAGCTTACCAGCGAGTGACCTGTCCCTGGCTAACGGCAAGGAGAGACGAAGCTTCTGCTTTGGAACCATGAATGGGCAGCACTTATTTAGATAGGATCCTCCTTACAGCCTTAAACGTTAAATGATGAAACAGAAAACGTATTTTCAGCTCTGCAAGAACTTCCTGCACCTCGTTTCTACAGGTGGGATTTAGGGAAAGGGCAGCCGTACGGAGCTATTTTAGCAGCATCGGGTTATCTCCGTACTGAAAATGCACTCACTCCCTTACAGTAGGGGCACCCCAAAAAGCTGCCTTGCTGCTGGCAGATAAAAATTCCCCTTCATAGATTACACACACACCAAGCTACGACTTGCGTATAGCACATGTGGATGTATGAGCGTGTACATACAGGAAGGAAAACCAGCTAGCGTGCACGGAAGCCTCTTTTCTGACCCATTACTTGCAAGCCACCAGATACAGCCGCTAATTTTAAGAGCGTTTTCTGGAGAAAAAAAAAAGGTTCCCATGTAAAAAAAAAAATAAAGGTCCTGCTGTAAATGCTTTTGGCCACACGAGGGATATTTAGTGCCGCAGGAGTTGCCCTGCTGCCGGAGGCACTGGAGTTTCCTGCCCTCCCGACTCGACCCGGCGGCTCCTACGCGATATTGCTCATTGAAAGGGCTCTACCCGGAGGTTCCGTCCACGGTACGCCCCAAAGAGATAACCGAGTTGAAATATCGTTCAAACAGTAGCTTTGATCAACAAAAAGGCAATTCACCAGCTATTGAAAAACTCTGGAACTGAATGAAACTGCAAACGAGATGAGACACCAGTAATGCATGAGGCACATACAATTACAGTGAGACAACTATGGGTCAGTAATGGAGACTCAGCTAAAAACAAACACAAGAAGCGAGGCCTGTGGAAGCACAGAGTCCCTTACTTGAGGGGAGCTGCCAGGAGAGAAGCCTTGATTGGAGACAGGAGAGGTGGGAGACTGGTTGGCTGGGGATCCAGCATTACTGCGGTACTGCTGGAGTGAAGCCTACAGAACAACACAGAATTAAAGACCATGGGATTGATGGAAGGTTGGCAAATTGTAAACTTCTGGTGTATACAGCTCGAGGACGCTGGGAGAAACCATCCTCTTCAGCAACTCTTGGCCGCGTACGGAGACACGGTTACTGTGAACAATGCCGCAAAAAGGAGAGTTACGGTATCAGCGTGGCACGGTCTCGGCTGACTGAACGGCTGCGAGCAGGGGCCGTGTACAAGCAAATGGGTTGAAGTATTTTCTCACTGTTCTCAGTTACGTTCAATTAAAAAAAAAAAATCTGGTCAGGCAACCATTTAGGGAAAAGAAGTATTGAAAGCTGGGAATAACTAAAAAAAAAAAAAAAAAGTAATTTATTCTTCAATTCAACTGCCATGCCCACACATTCTTAACCTGTGTTTACACTGCTCTGGAAATCCTCGCATGGCTCTGCCTCGTCTTAAACAGCCCGGGTGTGTTATCAAGATTGAAGTGCATAACCGTGCAGACTGAAATCCTTCTCAAAGCTGCATTTTACCCCGGGACACGGAACAGACACTGTCTGAGAATTCACACTACGTTTTGCAGGTTTACGTTAGTTATATTTACATTGTTCTCCGTCGTCCTGAGAACACATTTCCAAAGTTTTACCTTTTTTCAGTCGTGACAAACACTAGATGTGAACAAATTGATGATCTTAATGGCACTTAAATTGAATGGTGCGCTAATTAACATAAATAGTAAGTACAGCTCTTCTCATTAGACTCCCTTTAAAAATTAACAGATGATTGAGGAACACCTGCAATCCAGTAGTTCTACACAAAGGAGTAATTTAACCATATAGCTTTGCAGTGTGGGAGAACGCTGTACTACCAATGCTTTCTGACACCAAATCCTGTAAATCTCAAGAAAATAGGTCTTAACCCTTTTTGCTACGCATTGCTACTTACTTACTTAAGTGGACATCCAAGCTACAGCAAAATTAATTTCAAACCGCTTTACAAAAACCGCATAAAAGTTGTCAGTGAGACCGCAACACAGCTCAAATGCCTTTTTGATAAACTAGATTTAAATTTACGTTTGTTTATTCATCATTTCAGTTGCTTTAAAAGATAGACACAGCACCCTAAAAGTTAAGGTCATAAAGAAGTTTAGGATGAGGAAAGCAACACGGAAAGCAAAGAATGAAAATCAGAATCATCTGTACTGGTAGCTACACGAGTATTAGCATCAAAACACGGGGACACAGTTTGAGTGGGTGGGTATCCTTTCCACTGCTGGATTTGTCCTTCCTCTTCCCCTTCCAATCCTAAAAGGGAAGCAGCTTCTTTCAAGAAGGACTTACCAGCACGAACTGTTAAAAATTTCACCCACAAATGAAATCCAGGATCAAGTGCTGGATCAACAGAGAATGATTTCTTCCCATTCTCAAAGCAATTACCGTCACTACGACACTGCCGGGAGGACACAACGGGTGGGACAACGGAGATCCTACACAGCAGGGCAGCACGAGCGGAGGACGAGCTGTGAAATTCTTCCCTGGCTAGCCTGTAACCCTGACCTTGCTCTGCGTTTTGCATTTTCATGTGCGGAGACAAACAGAACATTTCATGACAGACCGTGGTAAAACAAGGAAAGAAATCTGTCCACAAATCATCGCTGTAGGTAAGTATACACTCCATTTCTCCCGGGGACCTGAAAGCGGCCACAAATCCCATTTTTGAAGATAATAATATATGCCCTAGTATTCCTTAAAATGAACGGGTTCTAAACACAGGAATTGTCGAAAGTACCTTCTGGAAAATGCTTGTTAGGAGGTTTCTTTATCAAATTTCTGTTAACTGCTCCAGTCTGCAGCACACTTTGTGACTTACAATGTGTTGGCGGTGCATTACATTTAACAGCCTGAAAGCCTATCAATGCACTGCAATGACAGCAGCAAGGCATGAAATAAATGCTGATATATTTAAGCTGGTCTAACCAAACAGAGGAGTCGCAAAGGACACCATTTTATGGCAATACGGCCACCCTAAGCGCACATTAAAACCTAATTTTCCTCTAGAAAACATTTAAATGTGGATTCAATCGAAACCATTCTAAACCTAATTAAGGCTCTGCCTAAAAGTGTACTTTTTACAAGGGCTGTCCAGCTTGAACTCCGAGGCTACGCTGCACGCTACCGGGTTTTCCGAACGCGGGCTCTGACATTTAGAGCTGCGCCCAAGCTTACCGAGTTGATGTCTATGCCCATTGACGGCTGGGTCTGGCTACCCGGAGGTGACTGCGGGATGGTAGAAGGTACCGTGACGGAGAGCGGGGGGAGCTGTGTTCCTCGCTGTAAACCAGAGGTCTGCATTAAAGGAGTATTCTGAGGCAGGGTACTTGCCACCTGGGTTTGCTGCTGTTGCTGGGAGGTTGTCCGGGTGAAAAATGGATATGGGGGAAGCTGCTGCTCCAGAGACAATGCATCCATAGCCACGGCCTTAAAAAGAAGAATCAAAATCATCCACGCTGGCAGGTAATTCCCCTTCATTTTCACGCGCGTCGAGCTTGACGCTAAGAGAACTGTACTAAGTCAATCTCATCTCGCGTTTAAAAAACGCTACCTAACGGTTCAGAACCAGTCAAGAGCATGTTTCAGGAGACTTCGTATCACCTCCAGCGTACAATAAACAAATACTCTAAAAGCCCGGTTGAAGGTCAGAAATGGATAATGTCACAGAGTCACACTTACGAAATCAATTTAAAAAGCTAATTGAGCTTTTCTCAGGAATTATAGAAATGTCTTTCAAACTTCGCAACTAACTTTGGGACAATACCGTTACAGAAAAGTGTCCTAATAGATGTTTTTTACCACGGCTCTAGAAAAGCAAAGGTAAAATCTGTGTCCTCTACAAACCTCTCCCTTTTTAAGGCTCTGAATTAACGGACACATTTAAAGAAGAAAATTAGAGAACAAGAGAGACGAAGTTACAGCCAGCTTCTCCCTAGGTAGAGCAGAACAATTCATCTGTGATCAAAAAAATGTAGTAATTCTCCAAGTAAGCTCCTACCTGAGTAATTGGTGACAAAGGGGAAAGCGTAGGAGACATTTGCTGCGACTGCGGTCGCCTGGAGTCCGCGCTCAACGAGAGAGGGCTGACGGCCGGCTGACGGTGCTGCTGCGAAGGGGCTGGCGGCGGCGTCATTCCTGCCAGGAAGGAGCAAACCCGCTTAAACGGGAACAGAGCAACGGTTTATCCATACTGGTATGGAGGCGACTACCTAAACCACGGAAAAAGGATGGCCCAAGCGGACATCCACTTAATGCAAAGTGCTGAACGCGCCTCGGCCAATCGGGCTGCAACTCGTGCGCTAATTTGCAATTAATCGTCGGGCTGAAGAGCATCAGGAAGAGAGGAAGATCCCTGTGGTTTATCCTGGACCAAAACCAGGTTGCTCAGGTTCACGCGCAGATACCGACTTGAAAGCGGAACAGGCGGAGCCCCTTCAGCGGTTTGCAGAACCCGCAGGTCTCGTTCTCGCACGCCTGCCGGGCTGCAGGCGCGGAAGCAGGGCAAGCGCGTTCTGCTCTATTCGCACGGGCTCGGGCTTCAGGGAGAAGGGAACAGATCATAGAACCAGACCGATCAGCGGGCACTTGAGCTATTATAAAAGCAAACGCCTATTTAATGGAAAACGCAGAAGAAGAGCTGGGGGCACAGGAAACGCTCCATTTTTCATGGCACACGGGAAGGCAGGAAACATTTTGCGCCCCAAAGAGCCACCACCCAGCAGAGGGTAGGGAGAAACAACTCAAGCACTGATTTTTGTTCCAATTCAAGACAAAAATCTGGACGTTTTGAGACCTCCCTTATTTTCTGCCTCACCCTAGAGGCACCCTGGAAAAGTGATTTCAGGACAAGCTAGCCAGTGAGCTGTTCGTCTCGAGCCGCCAGAAAGGAGGAATTCACGAGAGCCTGCGAGCTCCGAGGCACTTGGCAAACGCTCGCGGCTTGCAGGCAGGCTGCCAGGGAGCCAGGAAGTCCGGGCTGCCAAGGAGCCAGAAGGCAAACGGGCTCGAACGGCGCGGATTCGGACTGCCTGGCTTCCCCTGCCACGTTTTCAAAACCGACCCCGTCTCACGGAACGCGTCAGCAAACCGACAAACCGAACCGCACGGACGTGGAGCCGTAAACCGCTGGTAGTTCTTTGTAACCCGGCAGGTGTTTGCTTCCCCACCTTTTCCTGGGGCTGCCGAGGACGTGCCTTTGCTCCTGCAAAAGGCTGAAGGGCATTTATGTTTTCTGCTAGAGCTCGAGGCTGAAGAGAGGCAAGGAAGGCTCAGGGGGGAAAAAAAATCAGTGAAAAAAAGCACCAAACACTGACTATGCCAACGGTTAAACTACGGGATAGTCTTCAGAGAGAAGCAGGAAAATCATCCATGAGTACATCTTTTTAATTTACGTCTTTGATAGATAAGGAAGTGTTTTCAAAGCAATTATACACTTACCGGTTTGGTGTTATACCGTTTCCTTTCCTAATTATGGGGACAGCAAAAAATTCAGCGACTCGAGTCGTAAGTAGTTTGCAAGTAGTTTGTTTCTTTTTATACGCACAGTAGTGCTGCCGGCACAACCCGCCACGCTCTGCTCGAGCGACAGCCCATCCCTGAAACTCTGCACAGGCTCTTTTCCCACCGGAAAACTCGCCGAAGGATGCAGAAAGCTGCTGACCTCCTCTCTACCTACTGCTCAGTCATAACATGACGTTAACCTGGTTAGAATGATTTCCTTCTCCCAATATAGGGGAGGGTTTTTAGGTGGATAAGGGAATCCTGCCTTAACACGGAAAATATACTTGTATTTTTGGACACAGCGCCATATTTCTCTTCTAGGAATCGACCGACTGCAACCGTCAGTGACAATAAAAAAATGCGACCCTCTTCACAACTACTCGAGTGTGACCCAGTGAAATTATTTTAAAAATAACTCTCACCAGTTTAGGGTATTTGCCTATAAAGCTAAATTTAACCCTGGAATGATCAGGCGATCGGTATATTATGAATTGCCAGCATGGCAAGCGATGTTTGTTCATGGTGTTTGTTGTTTGGGGTTTTTTTAAATAAAATTGTCAGTATTACCAAAGTCCAAAACCCCAACAAACACAACTCAGACTTACCACGCTGAACAGCTCAAACGGCAACGGCACTCAAGAAGAACTTGCAAACAACACGACACCGCTAGGAAGGCAACAATTTCAACGCAAAGGAGCATAGTGAGAGCTGTGAGAAATTAAGGTGTGCACTTGGTATTATTTCCCAAAGCCCGGTTATATTACGTAGCCTAAATATTCAGGATATTTTCAAGCCTTAAGCAATCAAGCTTACAAAGATTAGCACACCTTGTAAAGGCTCCACGTTATTCCTGATTGCTCAAAAGAGAAAATTTGCTTCAGATGAAGCAAGCAATGTTCTCTCTCCAAAAGCGTCCTCACACTGAAGGAAACAAACATTCTAAAGGAATGAAAACAAAAGGCCTGCTTAAGGTACTACCGTAACACAAGTGCTGTTGGGGTTAAGTGCAATGTATTACAAGGGAGACATGCTTTGGATGCTAAGTCTCTCCTGTAGTCTGAGAAAAGAAAAAGGAAAAGGAAAAAAGAGAAAAAGGAAAAAAGAGAAAGAGAAGGAGAAGGAGAAGGAGAAGGAGAAGGAGAAGGAGAAGGAGAAGGAGAAGGAGAAGGAGAAGGAGAAGGAGAAGGAGAAGAGGAAAAGAGAAGAGGAAAAGAGAAGAGGAAAAGAGAAGAGGAAAAGAGAAGAGGAAAAGAGAAGAGGAAAAGAGAAGAGGAGAAGAGAGAAGAGGAGAGAAGAGGAGAGAACTAAAACTAAAACTAAAAATAAAAATAAAAACAAACGCAGATTTGGGCACCAGGAACATGAGGAAAATGAAAGACAGTTTGTAAGTCACATAACTAAACACAGCTTTCTCACTTTTTCGTACAGAAGTGGCTTGATAAAACTTGTTTATAAAGAAATGCCAATCAACAGCGGAGCGCTATTACTCTCAGACAATACAGTAATATTCAGCAGTGCAACTTCCAGAATTTAAGACAAGCGACATATTACGGAGACGACGTGTACAAACGTCTCAGAGTTACGACCTTACCCTGACTGGCGGTGCTGATGCCCAAGTGAGTCAGATTGGCGGCAAGATTTCCAGTACTATTGGAGCTACTCAGGGCTGGGAATGTGGATTCCTCAGGATCTAATGGTGTTGGGAGAGGGGAAGGGAAATGGATGTTTGTCAGGTCTGGCAGGGAGCCACCCGTGTTATGCGCAGCAGGGATCAGCGTTGTAGTGTTTTCCTGGTCAGCTGACGGAAAGATGCTGAATAAGGGGGAAAAAAAAAAAAAAGACACACCTCAACTTAAATTTCAGCCTGGACCGATCTTTATAAAACCTTTTTAAAAAAGGAAGGTGCTGTATACAGAACTATATCTCATATTTCTGATAAACCAGAGATTAACAGCCAGTGGGTCACTCATAGAGGTTCTGGCTTGGCTTCTATTGCAGTTATACTTCTAAGGACTTTTCTGAAAACTCAAAAGCAAGAGGACATTCAATATATAACATTCATTCGTCAAGATCTCAATGCTCTTTTAAAAGAAATTGCTCAAAACTTACTTGATTCCTGGAACTTCACATGATTTAGGTCTTGATGACCCAGTCTAAAATAGAAGGAAGGCATTTTTAAAGGCAAAGATACTGCTAGAGATTAATGCTTAGGATATATTTCAATTAGTAAGTTTTATTTAATTTAATACGTTTCTATTCTTCTACACAAGAGCTCTGTGAAGCTCTTAGAGAGATTTGTTAGCTTTGTTGCTTTATTGGCCCGAAAAGGCTCAAATTTAAAGAGTTTCTCCTGATATAATCAAACGTGCAGGCACGCAATCCTATAAAGTGCCTTTCTGACCTAACGTTTAGTGATTTGTTGCTAAATATAGCATTTCATCTCCAATCTCTGCAAGTAGTTTGTTTTGGTTGACAATATTTAGAGCATTACTTTACCTAAATATGCTTAGAAAATAAAATCCCTACACTTTGAAATGTGAAATTCCTACCTTTTTAGTGTCCCATCCTTGCTTAGAGAGGGTTTTGTCTGCCTCAGAGGTGGCTTCCTCCATTCCAGGGACAGTCAGCAATAACACTAAAAAATGAGAACAAAAGGAACCATATTGTAATATTAAGCTTCTCTGTAAGAAATTTTCCGGTTGGAAGTTTAACCATTTGAAAACTCTTAAGTAACCTATTATCAACGGATATGAAACAGTGGCACCCTACTGTTACAAGATGAAAATTTTTAAGAAAATGAACACCAGAAGAGACTAAAATTGTATTTAATTAGCAAGGAGACATTATCAGCTTAAAAAAACCCAAACGAACAATAGTTTAAAAAATTTTGGCCTCCCATTTAGTCTGCTTCGATCTAGAAGGAAGAGTGTACCTCGAGACCTAGAGTTTCCCACCTTTTGCGTTTTGCGCAAGCGGTGTGTATACCTGTTACATCGAACCGGTGGGTAACGGGACGATTCCAGGGGAGAAAAATCTGGACCGTCTCCCCTGGGATAGAGAAACGCTCTATAGCTGTTACTTCTCCGCCTTCCAAGCCCCTTTGTTTATTCAAAGCACTCAACTGTTTCATCATGCTAACAGCAAGGTGACAAAGGAACATCAAAAGCAAGCCCAGAGAGATGTAGCAACAGAAACCTTCCACGCTGATGCTTATAAATCCGTATTTATGCAACACTCCTTATCATTATTTGATGTTTTACAGCTGTAGAAGTATAGGGAAGAGCTGCAGTAGAGCGCAAAAGCATCCGAGCGTTGCGCGTTCACCTATCTCTGGGTGGTTGTTTAAGGATTACGTTTCTCTACACAGGTTGAAGAGCTTTTAATGCATTTCTTGAACCGACAGCAGGATCAAGGGCCAGCAGAGGGCACCAGAATTGTTAGTGCCGGAGGGCTGTGCTGCTCCAGTTTGTAATTAGAAATGTTATCAGAGAATATTGTTTGTAAGCATTGCCCCTGAGGGTACGTTCACTGGTGATCTCAATCCCATAAATAAAAATTAGATGAAGTCTTGCTACTTTACAAAATTCTATCACTGACCATGAAATGCCTCTAATCTGCACTTGTCTAGAAGTTACTACAAACTGCAAACCTCTAGTACCGCTGAGAGCAGTCTAACCACGAGTCCCACAAGCCCAGATTACTACTCCCCATCGGGCAAGGTCTTAGAATCACAGAATATGGGGTTTAGAAAAATGTTCTATCTTAGCTTCGTAAAAATCTTTTCTGGATTTTAGTACCCAGAAGAGTAAACGTGGTCCTTTGTTCCAATTCCCGTGCAACTAAATCTAGACGAAGTGTTATGCATACGTGTCTACAACTACCTGAAAGGGGGCTGTGGTGAGGTGGGTGTTGGTCTCTTCTCCCAACTAACTGGTGATAGGACACGAGGAAATGTTGTGCCAGGGGAGGTTTAGATTGGATATTAGGAAAAATTTCTTCCCCGAGAGGGTGGTCAGGCATTGGCACAGGCTGCCCAGGGAGGTGGTGGAGTCACCATCACTGGAAGTGTTCAAAAAACATGTGGATGTGGCACTTCAGGACATGGTTTAGGGGACACAGATTAATGGTTGGACTTGATGATCTTGAAGGTCCTTTCCAACCTTAGTGGTTCTGTGAAGCAGCTGGACACCAACACACGTGCATATAATCTGAAGTACAATGCTTTGAACGTTACAAATATTGTTACTGGTTTTCTCTGTTTACCTCTTTTCTGCTGCATGTCCTGTGACCCTCCTGAAAAGGATTCTTGTTGAGCTGGAGTCATAGTACTCTGGTGCAAGGCAGAATCGGAATTTGTCCTGAAAAAGGCAAAAAAAATATTTTTTTATTGTCAGTTTCTCTAAATAAAAGAATGCTTAATCTCAGATAAATGTAACCAACTCAGTAAAACCTGAATACTCTGCATTAAAAAACCAAAACCTATATACGGCGTATACCAGGCACAATTACCTTGTGAAACAATCAATTTGCAGAACAAATTTGAAGAGCAACTGTTTCAATAATGGGACTGAGAGGAATACAGGATAAACTGGTTGCCGTAGTTAGAAAATAAATTTGATACGCTTTGTTAAGATTATGCACGATCAAATAATGCAATTTTTAAGTGGAAAGCTGCTTATACATACTTTGGTTATACTAGTCTTTGAAAAGAAAGAGGTGGTGGGGTCGCCATCTCTGGAAGTGTTTAAAAAACGTGTGGATGTGGCGCTTCAGGACATGGTTTAGGGGACACGGTGGCGCTGGATTAATGGTTGGACTTGATCTTGAAGGTCCTTTCCAACCTTAGTGATTCTGTGATCCCTGTTCCATAGGGAGGGAAAACGCCTGGTTCAGGATGCAAGTATGTTGTGGAACCTCCACGGTCAACACATCCCTCACGATGAACCGTCCTTCGCTTGCGCGTGCGGGCCACCACCGAGGCAACTCGGCACCTCCAAGGTCAGGAGCACGAGGGGTAGGAACAGGCAACTCGGCGCTCCTTTCCGCTCGAACGCTTGCGAGGGCAGACTAGCCCAGCTTCTGCGCAGCGAGAAATATCCCAGTCTCTTACAACTCAACAGTTTTGGGGTATGCCTGGCAAGATTTACCCTTAAATAGATCACGTCAGCTGGCACACTTTAAGTTTAAAAGCAAGTGATGTAAAAGAATCGGCGTAAGGGAAGAAAATTTAAAAAAAATCAATTTCTAAACTCAGGAAATCACGGCAATTCAGATGACCAGCTGCTGTGGGAACAACAAAGGCCCCTGTTGCAGGTAGTATGAAATGCCTGTAGGATCAGAGAACGCAGCCCAAATACTCACACACACGTACGACTGCGCTACTAACCTTCTCCAGCTCGTGTCTGATGGAGGGGACAGATACACAGTGCCATACGGACAGCTGTCCACGTGATTCCATCCGTTAAGGGGAAGAACACCGCTTTCTCACGTAAGTAGCAGGCCTATTCGAAATCTTTTCCTAAGGAATAATTCCAATTACCCCGTCAGAACCACTAAGCCCCCACGAGAAAGGCAAGCAGGCGCCCTATGGGGAACATACTGACTTTAAAGGGACACTCAAAACAAGATATTATCTGGATTGCTGTAATGTTTGAGCAACAGGACAACCATCCTCCTTGTCCCGAAGCACCTCACCCTTCCCTGAGAAGCCATCATCTCCCCACTCTCCCACTCACCCAGCCCCTTTAGCCCCATCAAGCCAGCCTGACGGCAGCACGCTTTAAGCCAGTCAGAAATAATAAGCTAATTCATTTTCACAAACGGCAAGAAGAAATAGTGCCTGGCAAATGCTAAACCGATGAATCAACTTGTAATAAAACGCACAATGAACTGCAAAGGATTATTCTGGTTTGGATTTACTCAGTTCTGAAGGGAAACTCAGTTTCACCAAGACTGCCTTGCCTTTTTTTCCAGCAAAGCATCTCAATCCCTCTCAGCTTCCTGTGTATCATTATCCCCACTGAGAGCTGAGGAAACAGAGAAAGGTGAATGCTTACTTGACAGAATAGTAGGTATTTATAGACTAGATCACAGTTCAGGAAAAGCAGATGACATTCACCGCACAGAGACGGGAAGCAACTCTGCTGCCAGGTGAGGAGGGGAGGAAATAGGGAACTGTAAAAGCTGAAAACCGTGTTATTGCTGCAACGGTAGGTGTTCGCTGCCAGCCCGTGAACCAAAGGATATTTGCCTTCCGTGTTTATCCACAGAGAGAGGGCGTCGATGCGGGGAGCCGAGACGGTTTCTGTCACGATACACTCTGTCCACCAGACCGTGATGCCGAGTCGTTCTGCTTGTGTCCAATCCCGACGACTGAAACGGAGTCTGAGAGAGACACGTGAAGTTATACGCGGGAAGATACGTGCGGGAGCCGTCTGCCCGGAACCTACTCGTGTTGTATGCAAGGCTGCGTTATTCTAAGGCATAAAACTCAAACCAAGATACGGACAAGCGTAATCACGTACGTTTTTCCTCCAACAACACTTTCACTCTAGCCATGGAAAGCAATTACCACGGCTATCTCTGCCAGACAGAGACGAGAGACACGCGGAGGCAGACCATGCTAGACCTGCCCTCTCACACGCTGCTCCCCAACCTCTGTGTCTCTAAAATACCGTGAGCGAGCGTGGCAGGGAGCCTACTGGCAGCTGCTGTTGACATTCCCTCGGTGTAGCATGCAGCATGCATCCAGAAGGAACATGCTGACAACCAGAGCTTAAACTACAAGGGCAGGAGATGCAGGAAGAAGATGCACAGTGAGCCTGACATTCCCCGGAACACACCACGTTCTCTCAAAACTTCCTTTCACCCCTCCTTTCAGCATAATTATTTTAAGGGGACACTGATAGAATTAAAAGAAAAAGAAAAGCAGTTTCCTTCCTCCTCTGTCTAGAAAAAGTTACAGCATCCAATATTTTTAAAGTGATTTTCATTTCATCCAGGTTGCGCAGTGAACCTAGGTGGGTCGATTCCGCTTTGCATCTTATAGGCACCGAGATCTTGAGAGCATTTACTTGTCAGCAGCTGATTTCAGAGAAGAGGATGGCAGAGAAAAGACGGGGAAGATAAATTCCCAGGCTAAACTGGAAAACTGCTCCCACATTTTCACAACGGCCCTTCCGGGTGTATACCTGCGGGGGGGGAAAAGGAAGTACCGAATGGTCAACCTCTACTCATACTTCAACAGCAATATATGGGTCTCGGGGGGAAAAAAAAGTTACACAGTCTTCCACTCCTTGCCAATGTGAACAGCTTTGCCGAGTCCCTCAACACCATCTGTTTGGAAATCCAAAATTTCCTCCTCCATTCAGGTGCAGCACGTGGCAAATGCACTGTCCTGTCTGCCAAGCCATGAAACCATCTGGCTTTCACATTAATCTTTTTTTTTTTTTTTCCTCCTCTCTTTTTAAAGTGTCCAGCTTTGGTTGTTTAAATTATTATTTCTAAAATGTTTTACATTTATTTTTAAACGTTTTGTTTGTAATAACTTTTTAAAGAGTCTTTCTCCTATTTCAAACTCTTCTATTTGGCAAATATTAGTCGCCTCTCCCTCTACGCACACACAACCTGCGTTAATATGAAGGGATGCAAAGTGGCCATGGTGTTTATTTTCTCGTTTCAGGGCCAACACTTTACACGCAGCAGAATATTGCTTAAGTCAACACGGGATTAGCAGGAGAGCACAGTGACTTTTTACTGTACTCTCAGCCATTAAGCTCATCGTGTTTTGCTTCAGCTCCCTAGCAAGTATGACTTTCTTGCATGAAGACTTAGAAATCTCAAGTCATAGCATCTCAATTTTAAGTAATTTAAATTAAAACATGTTAGTTTAATCTCTGCTGCAAACACTAAGCAATCTAGTTCTACCTAACCAGCACCGCACACAACTGGGAACATTCCTAATTCCAAAAGAACAATAAAAGGTCTCAAACTCTTCCTTGTACTGTTGTTACAGGAATTCTACCCCAAAAGGCAGCAAAATTTGCAAATACATGTGTGCTTGGAAGGTCAACAGGAAAAGCAGTTTCCTGTGCCAATGGTCTCAACCACAATGTTACTAAAAGAGGAGAAGCCAGTTCGAAGCATACAGAACGCAGACCTCACCTGAATTTAAAAGGAAGCCAATGCATGTGAGTATACAGACAAAAAGTTGAACACAAAAATAGTTATTTCTTAAGTTTTCCCTTTTTTTGTCACAATTTCCATACGAAAACATAACAAAACTCTAATTTGAGCGCAACAGTGGCACAAATAAACACGGAACATGCCCTGTAACAGGGCTACAATTTACAGAGCGAGGAATTTTTGGGCAATGCTGTTCTCTGGCTTTCCAGGAACAAGGAAATTCCCAAGTGAATCCCTAACTTGCTTAGGGAAATCAGAAAAGATGCCAAACACTTGAGAAAACGGGTAGCACCTCCAACAGGTCGGGTTTCTTTCCGCAACCATCCCAAGAAAGTTACTGTGGACCCACCTCCAGGCGACGCACCTTCATTAAAATTCCCATCCCTGCAGGGCACGCGATAGCTAACTACAGTAAGCAACTGCGATTAAAAAAAATTAACAGATCTGAGCATCGCTTTGATTTGGAAAATGAAGAACTAGAACTGTTTCACTTCCTTGAAAAACATTCAAGGATTTGAAATCAGAACCAAAACTCCACAAAACATTAAAAAAAAAAAAAAAAGGCTGAATACAGACAGGAAGGAAAAAGCTCAGTGCTCTGAAGCAACAGTGTCCCTTTAAGATTTATCAAGACGTTGACTTAAGAAATAAGAACGAGCAAGGTGGACGAGGGGGAAAGAGAGGAGCGGTACCTGCTGACAGTTTACGTTTCGGTGGCTCCTGGTGACAAGCAGCGTTGGGGTAATCATTCTGCCTTTCCCGAGGGAGTTTAACATGCAGGCTAAGTGCACATGCTCAGAGACCGCTTAAATCACAGGCCAAGACAGTGCCAAAGAAACCACCGTCTGCATCAAACGAATCCCCCGTAAATCATACGTAATCACAGGACAGACCACAGCAAGTCCAGGGCGTCTGTACAGGAATTATACAAACTGGGATGCATAGCAAAACCTGTATTTATGTGACAGACCGTAACTCCGTCGGAGCTGGGACGGTGAATCAAATAAATACTGTGCATACCAGAAAAAGTGTAACGTGTGCTAAAATACGTATCTACCTGGGCAAACAGCACACCAGTCCTAAATACGTATTTGCACAAACCTAAATACTTGTTTACCAAAGAGACAGGAACTGCTCCAAAGGCTTCTGCCAGAGCTCCGTTGTGCTGTAAATGCAAAGAACCAAGATTCTCAGACACCAACGCTCTCACCGGGCAGGCTTCGCCCCGATCGGCACATCGTGCAAGTATCTTTTGGCAATTTCATCGTATGGTAGCTTCAAATCGAAAAACCTGGAAAGCATTCATCACCGATACAAACACATGGGTTTATTTTGTTGCTTGTCGCCGTTATGTGTAACAGCGTCAGCTTTGGACTTTTGCGCATGTGAAAAAATATATAAAAACCTGGAGTTTAAGGACAATTTGTTTCCGTATCCTCCTCATTCATAAATTTTTTAATACTCGCTTTCAAGCACTCTGTGACTTTCAGGACTAAAAGAGTCTTTGTAATAACCGACAGTAACGGCTGTCAAGCACAAAAATACTGAAATACTATTGCTTAAAAAGAACAGTTAACTATGAACCTCCTTAACACGAATCTTGAAGAGACCAGACGCTTGTGCAGTAACACTAAGGACTTCTTAACATTACAGACCTCTGCACTGTATTCCCTAAAGGCAGCCAGATTAAAATAGACGTTTGCTTCTCCGCTCGCACAAGATCCAAGCTTTTAACCTCCACAGGATTTCAAAACGCATAGTTGGAGGACATCATCAATAGTTTCTCTGTATTTATTAAGCCAGCCTTCATCAGAAAACCGCAGACTGCAAAATTTAATTCTTACCACATCCTTGTGAGAGAAAATGTAAATGTTACTACTCAAAAAAAGGAAATCTAATGCAGAAATTTTGTATTTTCAGCACCCGAAATCAACTAACTATAGAAATCAGGAGTCCCAAACGTATCCACCACCTAATCCTACTCCCTGTACAACATCTTCTGTCCAAACAGGCTCACTAACAGCAAAACACTCACACAAAACACCGAATTTCTGTTTATACTGCATTACCTCTGGAGTCACAACAGCAGGGGGAAAAAAGCGCCAGTACATCCCTACATTTATTTTTCAGCTGGCCCAAAGAAAAGCGACTATTGTGATACCATTTTGTGCCTGATTCCCCCTTCTCCTTTCCTAAAACCCGTACATTACTCCCAAGGAACACACACGGCCACAGGGCACCTTCTTCCACACCCCCATCTCCCAGTGCTTTCCACAGCCCCTTGCATTATTTGCTTCTACTTTTGTTCTGAGTCTACAGTATCTTCGCAGGAGATTTCTTTATGAACTTGGTACTGAATTAATAATTAAAAAAACAAAAAACAAAAAACAGACCCCACCACCACGAATATTCATTCACTGACAAAGAAATTGCATTGCCTCTGCCTATTCTTGACACAAAAGCATCGTGACCAGGGACAGGAGAACTAATATCTAATACTATATCCATGCAATACAAAAATATCCACACATCCCATACACAGCTATACTCCATTCCAAAAGAGCAAAAAAATTTAAAACAGCATGATATGCCGAGGCCACGGTGCTACGTTCTGAACCAGCAGCTAGTTCACGGTCTCCCGTGAGGAAAAAAATAGCATCCAGGCACAGCGTTAGTCAACACAAAGAACCACACACCCTATTAAACTCACCTGGAAGGGCAGATCCATGGCACTGTTTCCAATCTGATTCACATTTGGCAGTGACCCACCGTAGTACTGGCCACGACTCTGTCCCAGCTGCAAATATTGGGTTTTCTGCAGCTGTAACTACAAGAAAAGGAGGAAGAAAGTGTAAGGGCAACTCGTTTATTTTTCAACTGTTTTAATTAAACTCAACTCGCCACCACGTCCGTTATCAGCGGGAATGGATACCATCTATAAACAGCGTGATTTCAACTTCTGCGAGTGGATGTCAACCTTCTCCACAAAGCACGGTTGGCAAACTGCCACGTTAGGTCTTGTGTGATAGTGTAACGTGACGGAAGAAAAACCAACGTAATAGTCGGTGGTCGTACTCCATTTCCAACAAATAACCACGTGAATAACCACAAATAACAAATAACCACGTGAAACCGCGTGGTTCTTATGTCACCTGCTGTTCTGAAAAACCGGGACGTAGAAACCCGGGTCAGTCTGATTGTGACTCTAATGTTCACACGTGTGATATACACATAAGAGAGTCCTCTTAATTTAGTATATTGAGTACACCGTTTAACCAAACATTCCACCTTTTAGCTCTCTAGGTAACAGAGATGATGTAGCTTTCCACCAACGGGTAAGTATTCTTCTTTCTTGCACCAGGAAAAGCTCTGCAGGAAGGGCAGAGACACAGGTTTTCAAAGAAAACTCAACCAACCCAAGAAAAAAAAAAACAGCAAAGAATTCGTTACTGAAAATAAATGTGACAAAGTTTCAATAAATGCTAGGTATCACTCGAGTTTTGAATGACACCTCTCTACTAAAATACCCTAGTATGCTTTCCTGTAGTCGTATACATTTCTGGACTTGAACACTTGAAGCCCAGAAACACTTGAAAAAGTGTTGAAGAGAAAGTTGTTTCTTTCCTATTCAAACATGAACTTATAAATACTTTCATTGTCACTTCTTTCAGAAGACTATACTGTCTCAACAGCTCATTAATAAGAGCTACAATTTTTGATTAATCTTTTGTTAGAGACCTTTCTCAGTTTTTTAGTGTAGTAGTACCAATATTTAAAATAATTTCTCATTCAATTCTGTAATGCTCCCCACTCCACACATCTAGAGTTAATACCGCGCCGCCACCAAAGCCCTATTTTACACTGATAAAGCAGAATTTGCGATCATCTGAACACAACAATCCTGCTCCCAGGGATGCATCTTCCAAGGACTCAAGAAACTACAATTAAAGTAGCAAAGAAATGAGCTTACGTAAGTTCCCTCCCCTCCCACTGTGGAGGAGTACGTGTTTTATAATATATGTTGTTCCTCACTAGATGTCAACTGGCTGTTTTTGCACTCTGAAATGCACGAACGTTCCTAGATTGGTAGCAAAGACTTGTTTAAAGACTAAATGTTCAGATCTTGGACCGGATGCAGGTTGGTTGCTAAGGTACTGTAGCGCGTACATCAACAAACCTGGTTCAGTTTCATTCAGGCAAATCCGAAAGCCTTCACCTCGCAATGCCAGAATTTTGAAGACCAAAGTTTGGAAAAGTACTAGAAAGCACGGCATCCCCCAAACTGGATGTTTACAGGTTTTTTTTTTTTATTTTCCGCTTTCTTCAAGCAAAGGAAATGGCAGGATGGAAACCAGTGGCCCTGCCTCTACGGCTTTACCACAAAGGCCCTGGGGTTGAGTGAAGATGTTTCTAGCAAAGGGAAGGAAGAGCAAGCACCTTCCGTGTTGACGACATGTTCTACGCAGCGTCCTCTGATACAACGGTAATAACACGAGCCGGGATGCTGGGCGGTGTTGACAGTGAAGACAGCACGCTGCACACTGATAGCACCAAGATGGGACAGAGAGGAAAGGGACCAGGCTGCTTATATCACGCCAACACTTCGGGGGATATATATATTAAAACAGCTCCTGAATAGAGGCGAAGAAAACAAGATCACCCCGAGGAAAACAGTACGTGCATTCTTCTGCCTTTAAAACTATCCCTAGGAAAGCAACTCAACTAGAAGCCACCGATTTCCAAATATACAGACAGCCAAAATCTTTATGTTTTAGCCGAGGGACCGAATTAATCCAAAAGGTACGAGACGGCTCATAGAGACGAAACCTCTCAGTGGAACGGGCGCTCTCAAAAGCTGAGCTGTTTGGGGCAGGGTACTAGTCACAAAGTGGTCGATGGGTTTTTTCTTAACAAAAGGGCAGATAAATCCCCTCAACGCAAAGAGTTATAAAATATTCAGAGTGTTCCATATCAAACGGTTCAGAAAGACCCCGCCTAAAAAGCAGGCAAGCCCTCCTCACCTCGTCTTTGCAATCTTTTGACACGCAATGACAATGCAGCGCTCTCAAGCAATACGTGAAATTAGAGGGACGCTCCGCGCCGGTACCGCTTCATGAGTCGCAACTCAGAGCTGCGGCTCACCAAAAGCACAACATCAGAACTAGCTGTGCTTTTCGCCCGGCCCGTACATATGTTTTTGTCGTTAAAAATACAGGCTCGCTTGGGATTTGTGCCAAACGTGGAAGTAACTATGTCAACAGGTGTTGGTTTCTTTTAAAAGAACCTACTATAAGGCACGCAGGGAGGGGGGGCTGCTTGATGTTTTTGTAATGTTTTGGCCTTCTCCAGTATATACCTACCTCAAGGCATAACGGAACGGGGAGGTCACGACCATTTGTCTTTCCACTGCAGTTAAAACGTGGAAATGAGGAAACACAAGAGATTGAGAACGACGGCGGTTCTCGAAAACCAGCTCGGTAAACGGCTTTGCGGTCTCATGGATTCTAGTAACGTTACCTTCGATAAACACTTTTGGAGGTCCGTGCCAAAAACGAGAAAACCGATTGCTTGTCATGGCTTTCATATATCACGTAGATCTGTATTTGTTCCTCTCTTCAGCCTCCTGCTTTTTAGCAGCGAGTGGCCCCCAGACTACACGGTTTATTGGAGACCATCAACAACTGCCACTTGCAATCTAGGAAGATCAAGCGTAAGCAGAGCAGGCCAGCTTGCGGAGCGCCTCGAATCTCTTTTTAACTGGTAAGAAAGCCATTTTTAAAGACTGCGACGTTAGACCTTACTGTCGTTCCAACAGGAGATCTCAAGCAAAATCAGCTCAAGTTTTCCAACGCCGAGGAGCGGCGAACAAACCCGCAAATTTCACCGTCGTGCCTGGAGGTAACTCTGGAGTCTCACTGAAGGGACCCGTGCGCAAAGAAAAGCGGCACTGAAAATGAAAACAGGCGTCAGTTGTGGCTAAAATGAACACCCCCTCTTTTTTCTGTAAAACTACCTTGTGAGGTGAATCAAGTATATTGCCCGATTGGGGGGTTGAGTGGGGTTTTACTTAAAAAAAACCCAAAACTTTTCTTAATAGAAAAATTCCGCTTACTCTTAAAATGCTAACCAGTCATGAGTTAGCATAGTTAACTCATGACTGGTTAGCATTTTAAGAGTAAGCGGAATTTTTCTAACCAGTCTCATGACTGGTTAGCTTCATCTCCCGGGGTTAGATTCAATTAGTGGCAACTTGCTTTCTATATGAATTTAGATAGCGAAGTATGATAATGAATTACTTAGTGTTCACCAGATATATTAATTTCTTGAACCATGAGAACTTGGTGACTCTACATTACAGCTTTTCCATCTATGTATTATGTGGCCAAGATAATAGCTCCTTGACAGTTGAAAATATTGTTAAATATTCCAGTTCTTTCCTGAGAAAGCTTTGGGTAAGGAACAAGCTTTTGCTTCTTAAACCGTTTCATTTCTGCTTGGCATTCTTGTTCAGAAGAAACGTTTCCCAAACGACAGATCCTAAAGGAATCTGTAATTTTCCCTCTACCAGCCTTTCTCTTACGCTACTTAAAGAAAAAAATGAAGATTTCAAGTTAAAATCCAATTTAAGAGTTAAAAATCAACTACTTCTGCACAAGCAGCTTTCTAGAATAACAGAACAAGTTCCCCAAGTAAAAGGTCGACACACTGTTGGTTCTCCAGATTTGAAATTATGTTAAACCCAATAAATTTCTGCAAGAGTAACAACCTGCGAGGCAGTAGCAGCCTCTTTACAGCAAACAGGAAAGGAATCGTTACCTTTCCATGTAGTAATTAGGAATCTGCAAGCAATTACGTTCTTACCTAACAGTTGAGTAACGTTACATGATCTTCCTCTGCTTAATGGAGCTGCGCACACAACTTTGGTAAGAAATCAAAAATATTAGATTTAGTACAATGACTGACTTGTAACAATGGAACATTCTTCCAGATACTAGCTCTTATGTGAACCCATTTATATGAACTACCTCAATTTTTCCATTTAAATTGGGTTAAAGTTTGCTGGATATACAGCTGTGTTTGTAGGGAGAGATTCCAGTTATACAATCAATAAAAAAAAAAAGAGTGAAACGTATCCCTAAAAGCATATTCAGTTTTCCTGCAGACTTTCTAAGTGTCGGAAATATGCAGATGGGAATCAAAGGGAGCATTTATTAAAATTCAACACTGCAACTTCTCTAAATTTTTCCCCCAAAAACTCTGGGCAAATTACAAACTTAGGGACAGAAGTCGACCGTAATCGAAGGGCAAATATGACACTGGAATTAAGTCAAGCAAAATCCATTATACCCATTTCTTTTAAAATGCCCTTTTGAATGCATAAAAATTCGATTCCCATAAGCATAATGAAAGGGTGGAGTGTGTCCTTTTGATAAAAAACCCCTAAGATATCTGATGAATACAGGAAATAAGATTTCACGATAACTGCTCTTTTGCCGGTTTGCAGTTTCCATACCACGCTTTCTTATAAACTTTAGCTTTTCATTTTAGAAAGCTCCCTCTCTAGCATGTTGATGCTAATAAGCAGGAAAACAAGGGCAGATTAAAATTAGAAATGTATTATTAAAGCTTAATTGGAAATTAAATTCTGTTTAAAGGATTAACTGGAAGTTTTAGAGACTGCATTATAGGTAAATCCCGTTGTTTAAATCAGTTCAAAGTTTCCCAGTT